GCTCTCCACTACTGCTCCAACCTCGTAATAAAAATTACCTTTTATTTCTTCCACTCCGACCACGCCAGCCTCCTCACTATTTCTCAAACACATCGAACTGCTTCCGCCTCAGGCCCCTTGCACTTGCTCTTTCCTATGCGGAATGCCCTTCCCCCAGTTATCTTCGTGGGTTCCTTTCATTTCCTTTAGGTCTTAAGTCACCTTTTCGGCGAGGCTTTTCCAGTCCACACTACACAACATTTCACACCCACCTCCAACACTTTGTGGCTCCATTCGCTTCTCTACCGTCTCTCCTTAACACGCGTGCGTGTACATTTATCTTGTTAGTGTCTTTCTCTTTCACGAGATTATAGGTTCCATGAAGGCACGGAAGTTTTGGTCTGTAAATTTTTTGGTCATCACCTAGGACAGTGATGACCTGGCACATAGTAGGTGTTCAATATATGTGATAAATGAACACATGTATGAGTGAACAACAGGACACGGGCTATCTGGGCACACTAGGCATTTCTTGCCTGTTTTGCAGCAGAGCAGCAAACACTACACATCATCCACATCCATTCTCCCTTCTCCCTATCAGTAGGGCCCTGATTGGATGCAGGGTAGCAAATGCGCCTCCAAAATTACACTTGCTTACAGAGAGCCTGGGGTGGCCACTAGACCCAGTCTGCAAGGTGGTGGAAAGCTATCCGTTCCCTGGAAAAAGGGACAGACCCAGCTGTGGCTTTTGCCCTTCGTCTTGGTCCTGACTGGAACTCAAAGCCAATGACTGGAGGTGAAGCAGTGTCTGGAAGCCCCATGCAATGCAGAGCAGAAAGACTGAAGTAGCCCAAGTCACCTAATGAATTGTGACGCCACTGTACCCAGCCACAGCGAGTCAACTCCTTTTTGGTTAAGTCCCTGTAATAGAGTTTCCATTAGGTACTGCAAAGAGCAATCCTAACTTGGCACAAAGGTAGGAGGTGAGAGGAGAGATGCTGAGGGAGGCAAACGGTGCTTTGTGTGAATATTAGGGCGCAATCCAACTGCTGGCAAGGATTGAGGGTACGGGGTCTTCATTTATCCACCCATCTCCTTCTCCCATCCACCCTTCCCCATTCTCCTCAACCCCCCAGTGCAAACAACCCCACCGCCCTGACTTGCTCACCCTTTCTCTTGATAACCCTGAACAGAATCAAACATCCTCATCATCAGAAGGAGCAGCCCTCCAGTAACAATTTCCCTTTCAAAAACGCACTAACACCCAAGCTAATCTGAGGAAATGTCCTGGATAGCTGAGTTTTCTGAATTGGTAGAGTTTTGCCACCTTAAACCATCAAAACTCTTTATTTTAAGCCTTTAAGCACAATTCATGAATATCTATCATACATATCCCTACATTTTAAAACCAAGTATACAAAAATAATAATTTTCATAATGATTCAACGTTATTAGATCCCAAGATACATGGAATTTTGACCTGGAAAAGACCTTAGAGTTCAAGTCTAGTGCAACTGCTTTCTTTTGGAACCTTGGAGAAGGTTGTTAGCTTGCCCACAGTCACTCAGCTAAGGGCTGGCACAGTGAGCCATTATGATATGATCTGAAACGTGGTGATTCCCTCGAGCCAATAACGGTGGTGTTACCTCCTCTTATACCCAACATACCTTGCATATTCTCTATCTCCTTTTTATACTTCTCCGCAACTTGTTTCAACCTTCAGCTGTCCCTTTTCCCCATACAAAGTATACTTACCTGTAGTTTCCCTTGTCAAGCTTATTAAAGGTGCGTGTAAAGTAGGAGTTAACACTGTCCTGAGAGAGGACTTCAGCACGAAGTTCTCCAGGTATGGACTCTATCAGACACGTCATTTCCTCCTGCACCTCTGGGGAGGACTGATTTTCTACTTCTCATCACTTTGCAGATAAATGACATGATCTGGGTAACAGTGGTATGTTCCAGAAAAACAGGGACCCTGGAAACAGCTCAGAGCTCTGAATCTACCTTTAATATTTTTTAAGTGGTAAGAGGGAAACTGCTGAATTTAAAAGCAAGACCATTGCGTCCCATCGGATTTTACACCACCAGAAAGGTAGGTATATAAGAGCAGATAACTATGTTTTATACTGAAGGACCGTCATTAGAACTTTCCAGAAGGCCAAGTCTGGAAAATATGAATTTCTTGACGAGACCACGAGTGTCTATGCAGAAGATATTTGCACAGGCCTGCATAACAAGGTAAGGTGTTACTACTTCTTGGCAGTCTGGCTTCCCCTTTATTTCTAATTCCTCTATAAACTGTCCTACCACATGTCTTCTAAGTCAGGCATTCCCAAACCACGGGGGGCAGTTACCATGATGGGCCTTTCCAACCAAACACACCCAAGCTTGTCCGAAGACCAAATAAATGAAGTCTTGCACATACGTAAACTACTATTCTGCAAATATCTATGGATGTTATTGTGGTCGATAAAATTCAAACTCATTTTTTACATTGGTACTCATTCACAGAAGTGTTTTGTAATTAAGCATTTTCTCCAATTGAAGTGATACTGACAGGGCAGGAGAGTATGGAGATCACTACCATAAAAGAAAATTCACGAAAAGTTAATCTTGAAATAGGAGAGGACTTCCTAGGCAAGACAGAAAACTTGAAAATAAAGAAAAATTATATATATTTAACCACATAAAAATGAAATGCTTCTGCATAAAGGTATAATAAGCAAAGTTGGGGAAGAAGACATAAAAGGCAAGATATTTATTAACAAGAAAAGAGGCCAGGCACAGTGGCTCATACCTGTAATCCCAGCACTTTGGGAGGTTGAGGCAGGAGGATCACTTGAGGCTAGGACTTTGAGACCAGCCTGGGCAACATAGCCAGAAAAGAAAAAAGAAAAAGGAAAGGAAAGGAAAGGAAAGGACAAAAGAAAAGAAAAGGATAGGATTACAGTACAGATTATAAACAATTCATAGAAAAATTGGCAAAGGATTTGATGGAGCAATTAGAGTAAATGTAAATTGATTCAAGCTTTTGTTTTTTTACCTTTTTTTTTGTTTGTTTAGGGTAAACTTGGAAGAATCTATCAGTTATTTAAAATACAGATAACTCTGATGTGGAGTGGTCTCCAAGATCTAGATTAAACTTTTAAAATGCCATTGTAAAATAGAGTATATAGTATGCTACCGTATCTATTTTTGAAAGGGAGCAAGTGGAAGATACATTTTATTTGCCTATAGGTACATGGACCATCTCTGAAAGAATGCACAAAAACTGGCAAAATTAGTTATATCCAAAAAGGGAAATAAGAGGTTAGGGAACAGAAGTCAGAGATATTACCTTTCATAACTTTTGAATATTGTACCTTTTGAATATACTACTTATCCCCAAACAAGTAACCTTAAATAAATGCTGTAAATAAATGTAATCTCTTTCTCTGCACAATCTCCCAGACCTCAGTAAACAAACAGAGCTCTGCTTAAAATGCACATTCCCTTTGACCCACCAATTCTACTTCCAGGAATAATTTTTATCCAGAAATACTCTATAAGTACACAGATAGATAAAGATACAAAGATTAAGCTGGAAATAAACTAAGAGTCTATCCATAGGGGAATGTTTAAATATAGTGAATCTATACTATGAAATACTATGTAGACTTGAAAGAGAATAAAGTATAATATATCTGTTATTGACACCGAAAGACTCGAATTCATACTGTTAAATCACAAAAGTAAATCACAGAGCACTATTACATGTGACCCCCATTTATGGATTTCTTTTTTAATAGATAGGGTCTTGCTACGTTGCTCAGGTTGGACTTGAACTCCTGGACTCAAATGATTCTCCTGCCTTAGCCACCGGAGTAGCTGAGACTACAAGCATGCGCCACCACACCCGACTGCTTCATTTATGTATTTTTAAAAGTATATTCAATATATTCAGGTTTTTCCTAAAGTTAGAAATATAGATATTATTTTATCATGTTTTATACTGTCATATCAACAAACCATGTATTTATAGCCACCTATATTTGCAGACTTAGCATATATTACTGTTTATGTATTAAAAAAGAGCTGAAAAGAAATACATTTATAATGGTTACCTCTAAGATAAGGAGAGGGAGTAGAGAAGAGGTGGAAGGAACATTCATTTCTTTTCCTATGTTTCTGTATTTTTCCAGGCATGCTTTACATTATTTACGGAAGGTCACAAGTTTGTAAGAGGCAGGGCTGCAACGCAGGCTGTCTGACTTCAGGTGCCTTTAACACAGTGTTCTCTCACCTATTACTTGAGTATTAAAAAAACACAAACCAAAATAAAATTGAAATATACCTCCTCATGTTTTACCCCTGGCCAACTGAATACTTCTTTGATGCTCCCAGTATTCCCTGAACATATTTGCATGAATGCCATCCTCTCCCCTGCTGGGCACATAAAATGTCCAAGGAAATAAATAGATAAAAATTAGTTGTAAGCATTCTCTCTTGCTGTAGAAACAGAATCACAGATGAGCTCTGTTTGAATAAATGAAGCATTGAATCATAAAGTCAACCCATCCTCCAATCCCCAGGCAGCACTGACAGCTATCTCTAGTTTTGCTGGCTTTTGTTCTTAAAGAAAAACACCAAGAAGATACCACTTCTCCCTTCCAGTCATGCATCTCAGAATGACAGTAAATGCTCCCTAAGGTCCAACACAGAGGTTGCAAACTGGCAGTCTGCAGGCCACCACCAACCTGCACACACTAATTTGTTTATCCCGTACATTTTTTAAAATGATTTGAATTAGTTGCCATCTTTAAAAATATGAAGCTTTTTTTTCTCCATAAAAATTTACAGCTTCCACCAAAACTCAGACCAGGCAACAATATGCTGGAGCCCCGTCCCACCTGCAGCGGCCTCGTCATGGTAGGCATGCTGTGCACACAGCGCCCACCCAGCTCTCCTGCCCACCGCATTCCTACAGTCAGGCTTGCTGACTGGCGCCCGTCAGCAGTGGAGTTGACTACAAAGAACCGTACCTCCTTTTGCCGGCATTTAAGTCAGTTCCAGCTCAGCCCATTCTGTCTTCCACTGAACCCAAACAGAAAGCTCACACCCCTCTGACCACACAGTGCTCCTCCATCTCTCAGAGGACTCCCAGGGCACCTGGCTGCAACACAAACAGAACGATTTGGATACTTGAGGCCTTGGATTTAGTTCCAAAACGACAAGCAGGCCTCTTTATTATGGGTCTCTATTCTCAATGTCATGGCGGTAGAGTTGCAGGGCAGGGAGAAAGAAGTCTTGAGTTAAAGGACCTGCCTGTGTGATATCAGGAAGCCTCGTGAAAAGCACTGCCAAGTCAAAAGACCTGAGTTCAATCTTGGCTGTTCACTAGCTGGGCAGAGTCCTCCACCTCTCCTGAGTCTCAGTTTACTCACCTATCAAATGGGCTAATAGAGATTTCCGGGGCTGTTGTGAGAATGAAATTAAAAAGTGTGTATCAAAGTGCTTGTTAGCACCTTAAAAGTGTAAGATCGGTGTGGATGAGGCCAGGAAGAGGGGTGCTCTGGAAGAAGTGGCAGAAATGAGTGGCACGCATCCCAGTCACAGTTGGATGAAGAGACCCTGTAGGTGTGATTTGAGGTCCTTTGACCTTTTCTGCCCCGAGGACCTGGCAAATGCCTGTCTTCACACGCTCCCAGTGGCTGCAGCGAAATAGATTACAGGGGAAACCACCTACTCCCGGAAGCAGTCACTCTCCAGAGCTCATATGGAGGTCCAGGTCGCTGAGGGAGAAGAGACCAGGCTGAATCCCCAGCTGGCTCCACGGAAAAGGGACAGGTATGACCATCTGCCCCCAGCCTCTAGCACTCGGAGATGGGACCGCCTGATGTTAATGGGATCCCCATTGGACAGATCAAGGAACTGAGGTCCTTTCCCTCCAAAACCACACACCATTTCCCTTCTTCACAGGGAGGAGGATCAAATGACCTGCTCTTGAAAGCACTTTACAAAAGGGATGAAAGGTACAATAGCGAACAAAAATAGCCTCAAAGATATGACATAAAGTGATGCTAATACAATGCATGGTTGTGTGGTTACTGGCGACAGACATCTCTGAAGCACGCGAGACCATCCCATTTATCCAGCAGACGTTCTCATCCCACATGCCTTTGTCCAAAGGTCGCACAAGGGTTAAGCTCTGGCCCAGAAGGCGCCCTGGGCTGGCCAACTAACCAAATCTCCCTCTCGCAGGCTGAGGGGCAGAGGAGCCCACCTGGCGGCGCCGGGAGACTAACGGGCGCGCCGCCCGCCCAGACTCGGGAAGACAGCGCCCTGAGCCGGATTGGCAGAATGCTGCTCACCTGGTCCTCACGGATTCCAGCCAAGGGTCGTGGTCGCTTCGCCCCAGCCCCTATCCCTGAGCAGGGCACGAAGCCCCTTGGCCCCAGGGGGCGCGGTCCCCATCAGCCGAGTCCCTGGCACGCATGGACGCCCTTCCTTCCGGGAGATTGGTAGGGGGCTTCGGGCGGCGCCGGAGAAACGGGGCGGCCTGCGCCCAGCAGAATGGGGTGGTCCTCTCAGAAGCCCCTGGCCGCAGGGGAGGGGCGCGCCCCCAACATCTGCCCACAAAGAGCTCCAGCTCTCCAAAGTAAGGCGCAGTGCGGCCGAGAGGACAGTCCCCTACCTCCCAGAGGGGGCAGGGAGAAGAAAGCGCTGCGGAGGTGGAGAGGCGGGGGCGGACGGGACGCGGAGACCCTTCCCGGCCCGCGCCCCCAGCGCCCTCACGCCCCGCACGATGAACTCAGCCGGGTCCCATCCCGGTCAGCTCCTCCCCGCCGGGGCCCGCGCCGCCCCCACCGCCGCCTGCGCCCCTCGCGCGATGCTCACCGAGAGCCGCCGCCGCGGCAGCTCAGGGCCCGGCCGGGCCGCCTCCCCGCCTCGGCCGCCGCCGCCGCTTCCTTCCTCCCGGCCGCGCTCAGGGACTAGAGGTTTCGGGTTTCAGCGCGCCGAGCCCCGC